CTTATAATCCTTATCCTTGTCAATTGACGACTAATTGACAAAAACATTATTTTGCTCTTGTATAAATTTTTAAACACTTACAAATCTGCAGAGTTTATGAACGAATAAATGAGCATACGTGTGTTGCAATATCGTTCACTGAAATCAAGACTGAGGTTAAGAGTTCTCAAAACATGTCAGGTGCTGGTTTTGATATGCGGTTCTGAAACAAGGAACATAACAGCAACGAAAAAATTTGATACAGACAAAAACCTATGACTTAGACGGCCTCTGGGAATAAAAACACAGATCGAGTAACAAATTAAGAGATCAGACGTAGACCAGACCAGTCAACAATTAATCAAGTTATTTGGAAAAAGGATGATGCAGTGGGCATGACATCTGATGAGAATGGATGAAACCAGAGTACCATTAAAACGTGGAAAAAAACAGAAAGAGGAAGACCCAAAATCAAATGGAATGATTGTTTGGAACAAGATCTGAAAATGGTAGGACTCATTCCGCCAGGAAAGGTAACAGGAAAAGTAAGACAAACTCTGAAAGAGATATTTTGGACAGACAGATGTGGAGACCACTGAGGAGTCATTCATGGACTGGATTCATTTGTTTGATGAATGGATAACGATTGTTGCGATACTGTGCATCATTTCATGCATGAAGCAACAAATGTCTCACCTTGCTAAGATTAGAATAGAGTTCGCCAATGCTATTTGAAAGTTTTTCCACATCTTGTGTGAGCAGTTGGTCGGCATTGGCCACTCTGTTGTCTAGATTAGTCATCTTGTAGTATGTGAATCCCCTGCACAGTATTTTCAAATGAAGATTATTATTTCATGATAAGCACCTTTAACATTGCTTCTAAACATGCTCACATAATAAAGAACAAATACATCATCATCTTGGCATGGTATTTATTATTATCATTATGAAAAATATAAAGACAAGACATTAAGTCTCTCACCCAACTTTCACAACCGAAGAAATAAATAAAATATTCATACATAATTGAGTATATACATAACATACAGATACATATTGATGTTCATTTACTATTAAAATAAAAATAACAAATCAGATTCTAAATGAAAAGACTTGAAACGTTGTCTCAAATATCAATTTCAGGCAAACACATCAACAGTCCTATTTAAGCATTGTATCTCAATCATCAAATTTATCACTGAGCAATACAATTCAGTCCACACTCACGCATTGTGTCAAATTCGCTCTCCAATAAACTTAAATTTTCCACTTATAAAAAAATTAAGCAATTTTGGTTTAAAATCATTCGTTGTTACTGTACAAACAGAAAAAAGTTTTAAAAACAAATAAATTTCATTTTATATCTCACTTTCTAAATTTTCTATGACACTATTTTCAACAGATAATTTCAGTAATTGGTACAGCTAAAATACACACACACACACACCACACACACACACACACACACACACACACACACACACACACACACACACATACACAAACAAACACACACATATATACAAACAAACACACACACCAAACATGCATGAACACATTTAATTGTATAGATGAACAAACAGATGCATTGTCTTTTAGTATTTGAATTATTTTGAATGAAGGCTTACAGATTCAGCTTGGAGCATGATGACTTTTTTGACAGCAAGCAGAACAAGATTATAAGCCACCGTTAGCAGGGCTTCAGAGATCCAACTCTGCCCCTGCTTCCATGCTAGTGATGGTTTCAAACAGAATTAAACTTTCAGCCATGGTGAAAGACACTAACCAGAATTGATTGTTAGAAGTCTCGTTCATTTGGGACAAGCATTTTTAATGAAAATAATTTCTGCAAGAAGCCTTTTTAAGATGAAAAGAACTCAATGCCCCTTACTAAGCCAACTCTGTGACCATCCATTGAAAACAGATGATAAAAAATTCAATACATTATTGAATGCATATTTGTAAATTTTAATATAAAAAAAACTAGTTTGACATCTAATTCAACACTGTTCAACACAAGTGAAGAAATAAAATGGACTAACTTGAGATATTTGGAATACAACTGTAAACTGAGTCTCGTCCTGAATCTTAGCTTCAACTCATCTAGGCTATACTATATAAAATACAGAATGGAGCTTTAATTAGCGATATATGGTGCATTCAAAATAATTATTTAGATTTAATTGAAAACGTTAAAAAATAAAAAAAAAGTATTCAATAAATGGATGTGACTTACCTTTAATATGTTATTTACAATGGATATCTGCATAAAATTAGAATAAAAATGATTAAAGTGGTTAGTGAATAAAATATAAACGCCAAGATGCAAGAGTGCAAGAAATGAAGGCAGGTTAGTAGACGTTGAGGTGCTGGAACAGATGCGAATATCATGCAGTGTGTGCGAATATTACAGCTGTTGTGGCATAAAAGTTGAAAACAATTTGTAAGCAGGTGATTCTGCATCTGTCGAAAGCAGCACCATGAAGACAAATGAAAAAATAGAACATAAAAACTCACAGCAGGCATGGCGTAGATGAATTTGAGCAAATGCCTCAGGAACAATTCCTTGTTTCGACTTATGATGGAGCTGATATGATAGAAATAACGATAAAATAATATCATCATTATCATTTAACAATTATAAAATAACATCATCATAATGTGTAACTAAAATAAAATTATTACAATAAGAAGAATAATGATGAAATAAAATTATTGAATACGATTGGAGAAATGATAAAATATAATTTAGTAGCATGACTGATTACAATTAAGATAATAAATCACAAATCCATTCTCTTAGTACTGGTAGAAAAACAGCTCTACAAGCCAAATTTAAAATTTAACTTAAAAAAAAATGAAACGAGTAAATGTCAACAGTGTAACTTGTAAAAGAAGCCAAACAAAGCGTTTCAACTAATGATGCCAACTAACCTTTCAATAGAGGTTCCATTCCTTATCATCCAGACATCACAGAAAGTTCTTGAACCCAGTGCCAGCGCAACCAAAAACACATACCAACCCTGTATGCAAAAATTAAACTACCCATGATTCATCCATGAAAAACAACTGACTGAGTAAATACATCTCAATTTATCAAATAAAAGCTCCACTAAATAAACAACTGACAACAATATGGTAGGAGGAAAAACGTTACTGTATAAAATATTTCATAAGAACACAAAAACAGGTAAGGGTAGAAAAAACAAGCACCTCTGCAGAGAACCAACTGGGCATAATCATCTTTATGATCTTTCTCAATTGCCTGAAATAAACACAACATTTTATTCACCCAGTCACATCATCATGAATGACATAAACGAATTTAATTATTTTATAAATTAGAATTAATAATTATATGACTGATTCAAATAGCATTTCATCTACATTTCATCATCAGAATCATTAATCTACTCATCCACCATTGTGATCACAACCACTGTCGGCAGTTAGCTCATCAACATCGTCAACATCATCTTCGTCACCATCATCAACATCAACGTTGATTGTTTACCCCTCACCACCATAATTTGCATCAGCCAATTTATGAAGAGAATGAACCATTCTAATAGAAAGCACAACAATCTGATCACATTTGAAAAGTACACACAGGCAGGGCAGGCAGTAACAGCTGGACGAGCCTGGTACCTCTCTCCCAGCACCTCCCATTACCCCTTCTCACACAATGTATTACGCATCAGCCACAACAACCAAACTAGCAGGAAAGTGTACATGATGAAAACTTAAACTCAGCAGTTCAGCAACTTTTTCTTATTATAAAAATTACCTCCTCAAACCTCATGTTATTTAAAAAGTAAAAAAACCCAAAATTGCTCAGATTTCTTTATGTTTTTATTTGTTCATTATGTTACAAGGTATAAAAAAAGTAATCATATTACCTGAAAAACTCCATGTCAACAGCTGCCTTTTCTTTATTTTCTGGCTGCAATAATTTGAAAGGGAAGAAAATAAATCAACTCAAATTTTTAAATGTTACCTAATAATTTAAGACACTTTAACTAGATAACAAAATTTTTGAAAGGTCTCAGATACAATTAGGACAACACAACATCTGCATAACACAATTGATTATGTCATGACATATATAATCTGCAAGTATGTGACCTGAACACAAGTTCTCCCTGTGAGTTTTATGTTGAAGAATGTAGTGCACAAAAATAAATTGGTGACGCACAAAAAATTATTTTTGATTTTCTATAAACATTTACCACATTTACCACAGTTGGGTTTTTATAAAATGTTCAATTTTCTTTATTTTTCAAACTCGTTTTTCATTCTTGCTCACTAGTTTGATATTTTGATGTGACTAAAGACATCGAAAACAGATATTAGACTAGATAGAATAAAAATATGAAATTGTTGACATTTAAGAGAAAAATAAGTCAATAAAATGAAGGAAATACTCTTCTTTTATAAGAAAATAATGAAACCATATTTTAAAGAAAAAATTTTTATGCAGGTATGTATATAATTTATGTTGTAAAGCTTAAATGAAGAATCCATCCTATTAAAAGCTAAATTAAAATAAGATTCAAAGATATAGTTATACAGATTTTTTTTAGTCATCCAAAGAAAAAGTTTCCTATTTAACAAAACAATTTTTGTGTCATGTATTTATTTGTTAATATTAATTAACATAAAGTTATTGAAATTTACAAGATGTGATTATAAAATTCCTTTCTTTATTTGCATATTAAGTATCAATATATAAACTAACACTGGCTTTTGTGACCATATGAAAAACGGAACCCAGAGATTAGACAAAATTATGCAAGTACCCAGAGTAAGTAATAACTAAATAATAAATGAAAAAAACTGATATAACATAAGAGATTAGTAGATAGATTAGTTATTAGTAGATTAGCCCCTAATAGCAAATAAAAAGATTGATTGGAGTAAGAGTTTGTGTGGTTTTAATTAAACCGCTTTTACTTTTTAGCTAACATATTTAAAATGTTATTATTGAACATATTAAATAAATGCTCAACTGATAAAATACAAAAAAAATGAGAAAGTTAATAACCTCATGTATGAAATGGGAAACATCATCATCTTGATTTTGCAGGTACTTGGCTCTAAATAAAATAAGATTTTTAATTGAATTGATCCACTTAGGAATTGAAATAAAAACAGAATGAACTAAATAATAATACCTTCTCTTTTGATTGGCAGAAGCTTTTCGAGCCAACGTCCACACAACGGCTGACGCCACAATAAGTGTAGCTGCATTTCGTGGGGTCACACAGCCTGCCAAAAATTTACTTAATGCTGCCATCTATTTACATCTATTTTATGTATCCGGTGAAACTTATTTTAACTTGCAGCCTTCAGAAATCATCAATCAATCAATTTATTCTTGCCACTGTTACGTTACGAAATGATTGACAAAATCTGATCAAGCCAAGTTTAATTGCGGGGACATCGACGTTAAGTAAATTCAAAGGTTAATTTAAGTTAAGAATGATTTAAATATAACTAACGGTGTAACTTTCAATTTTTACTTTTTTTTATTACTCTAAGCACCCAATCCAAGCGTTCTAAGTATAATGTAACAAATAATTAAACCCGTGCATAAAACCATATCATATTTATGATGACTGAATTTTTAAAAAATTACAGCAAAATGGTTGAATGTTGACTGTCACTGAACACACGGAAAATACATACAACACATTAAAAACTATATTTAATATAACATAACATTATATAATGTAATAGAGTTTATAGTGGTTCAACAGACTAGACGAACAACCACTGCTAATAAACTGGCTCCTCAAGCTTGATCTTAAAATTGTTGGCTGATTCAGCGAAAACCGTCTCGTCATTCAGCTCATTCCAGGTGTTTACCACCCTGCTGCTGAAAAATCTTTGCTTGATTTTACCAATTGACTTCTTAAAAAGCTATATGACCTCGTAGTTCTCCTCTAGACTCTAATTGGAAGAATCTGGTAAATGGCGTATCCTCTTTTCCGGTAATCAGTTTGTATGTCTCTATTACATCCCCTCTGCATCTTCTTTCGGTCCACATTCTTTTTATCAATCTTTGTATTGGAGTTTTTTAAAACCTTTGATCATTTTTGTTGCTTTCCGTTGTACCTTCTCCAGAACGTCTTTATCTTTTTGCAAAATTGGACTACACACTTGAACACAGTATTCCAGATGGGGGTAAACTAAAGTGTTATACAAATTAATAATTATCAACTTTTCCCTGCTGACCACTGTTCTTCTAATAAATCCAAGTATTTGATTTGCTTTTGCCGCTGCAATTGCACATTTTCTTGATGTTTTGTGCTTGCGTGAATGATGTTTTTTGAATGATGCCCTTGTTTTTTCCGCCCATGTGCACAACTTCACATTAATCCATATTAAAAAACATTTGCCAATCTTCAGACCACTTGTACAATCTTGCCAAATCCTGTGTTAAAACTTCCGCATCTTTCACATTGTTGATCTTTGCACACAGTCTCGTGTCATCGGCAAACTTTGATATTTTTGATATTATGTCAAAATCAATATCATTGATATAAATAACAAATAGTAGAGGTCCTAACCATGGTCCTAACACAGAACTTTAAGGAACTCCACTTGTACTTTAATTCATGATGAACTCGTGTGTTTGATCCGCACTTGTTGTCTTCTGTTTATTCTAATTATATGTTCTGTTCTTAAGCCAGTTGGTGATGCATTGAAAAAGACTACCAGATATTCCACATGATTGTAATTTCTTGACAAGTCATCTATGTGGCACTAAATCAAATGCAAAATCCAAATAGATGCTAGT